CCACCCCACACCACCAGCTTCAGGTACTGCATATGGCCAGGGAGACCAAGGATATGACCAGGACAGGGCAGGAACTGGGACTCCTGGAAAGGAACCACTACCAAAGTGCCTGGCATCTTCTGCCACTTTGCTGTGACACCAGTGCTGATGATCCCATGTCCCTGTAGTCTGGCTGGGGATCAGCTGCAGCTCTGATCCCATTCCCTGCAACACAGCAATCCTCAGCAGCTCCCTCCCAAGCAAATCTCACCTCGTCCTCTTGCTGGCACCAGTCCCAAACTGGCCTGCTCTGCCAGCCTGCCTGCATCTCCATCCCCCTCCCTCTGGGCATGGAAAGCTGCTGCAAAATGCATTAATCACCACATCTGCCTAACAAGAGTATCTGGGAGGAGGACGAAGTGAGTGTGAGAGAGTCCTCTGTGTCGTTTTTCCACCTGCCTGGTATTTAGGATGAGAAGATGATCAGGCCCGTAAAACACAAACCACTACGTGATGACTTGTAAAGCAGTAAAATGGAGACATTAAAAGTCATTCACGACCCTTTTCATGTCATTGCACAGTGAAATCCTACCCACAAACGTAACATGTTTCAGGTTAAAGGCTGAAAGATTTCAAAACCATATGTAGGTGAGTAGTTTCCCTCTGTAGCCATGGCAGCTGGGTGTGCTGGGGAGAGTACAGAGAGTCCAGCTGAGCATCTCCTACAGCAGGTGCCAAAAACACACAAGCCTTTCAAACTCTGGGAGCAGGTAATGCATTAGAATGCACCTTAGTGTCATCTGATAATAAATCATCATAAACGTTACAGCCTCCAACCCATGAGTGTCCACTCCTGCTCCACAAGGCACGAGCTCTGATTGCCCTGGAAATGCAGAAGCTGCCCCTTCGAAGCCAGAGGGAGCCTTGTTCCTCTGAAATTGCATCTGAAGCAGCACATGAAGAACTTCAATATATTGCTAGACAAGGGCCAGGAGAAACCCTGATCATCCTGGCTGACCTGCCACCTAAGGACATGTGGTCTCACCTGGTGACATCTCCAGGACAAAGCCCATTGGCTTACACCACAACTGAACTTAATCTATCCAAAAGACAGACACCGGAGGGGTGACTTCGGTAGGTCTCATCTGTATTGGTAAATCTCAACAAAGCTGATATCAGGTCACTGTCATCAGCCTGCTCAAGTACTCTAGGAAACAGCAAAATTTGGGATGAACCAGCAATTGCCCAGTGGGCTGTTTTCATCTCTTCTTCCATTCAATGTCCCAAGCTGAAGGTATATGGTACAGATCTGAAATACTGAGATTTTTCTGCCACTATATTTGGGATCTCAGTGGTTATTCCTATTTATCAGTCAGTAGGACTCTTGTTTACTGGATGCAGCTATAAAAAGCAAAGCAGCCCCAACAGGCATGGGTAACTCCATTAGATATTGGTCCCAACAATGAGTGGTACGTTTGGTTTAAAAGTTTGGAACAGAATGCCAAGAGAGCAGCCTCTTTCCTGAACCAAGGAATAATATAAAGCCCCAATTTCTCCCCTATGTGACTTTTGTCATTATCATCTTTTCTGATTCTTACAAAGCAAACCTAATTAGGAAGCTCTCTCATTAGTCTTCCAGAAAAATTAGCACAGCTTATGCTAATTACTCCTGTAAAATTTAATAAACTAGTTGAAATGGGAATAGTCTAATGAGGTTTTATTTATTGAACTAAAATAACTGTAAGGAAAAAGGTTAGGACACCAGGATATCCAGAGTGGTAATATAACTACAATTTATTCAATTTCTTCACAGGAATTTTATTGCGAACCTTTTAAATTCAAATATTAGTTGCAATTTGAAAGTTAAATCAATCTAGAATTTAATTTAATAACAGGAAGTGCTCTGTGTTTTCTTTAAGTGTGATTACAATACAACCCTGCCACTGCACTTGTGGGAGGAATTGTGCATTTGTGCTGTGACAATAAAACCCCTTTTAAAATGAGTTCCTGTTCATTAGACCTTCATCTCAACACATGTAACTGGATTAGCAATAAATATACAGGCTACGCTAAGAAGATGATTCAGACACACACAGGTTTCCAAGAAACTTCTTTGAAATGACTGCTCTATAAGCATAATAGATTTATTTTGTTCTCCAGAGAAAATTTAGATCACTGTATGTATACGAATTTCTTTAGGTTCCTTTCACTGCTGTATCTGCTGATACTATAATAGAGCAAAATATAAAGCCATTTTATAAAGAATAAAGCCATATACTGTTTCAAACACACATTTTTTTAAATCCCACATTTTGATTAAATAAAAATACACCATTTACTTTTCATATATGTCTAGGGTTTGAAAATGCAACACATGTAACTCTGAAGCTGCCAAACAGCCTCTTTGCCAAGTTCACCAAACCACCACAAAGACACAGCTCCCTCTATCCCGAGCTTCTCCAGCCTCATCTAAGAGAAGTAATCCATCCAAAATAGTATTCCAGCATGTAAGAAGAGGATAGCATTTCCATGTAAGTACATATGTCAAAAATCCCATGGATAGATTCTACTTTCAATCCTATGTTAGGTCAGAGCCTGTGGATTGACAGGATTTGAGGCAAGAGTTAGATTAAATCCCATAGGCAAGACTTGATCAGAGCGCCGGCATGTGGGAGTGCTTTAGCCCAAGTGGTAATTGAGTTCTCTGAGCTCACATGCAAATAAAAATAGCTAAATATGGTTTTGCATATCAATTGACATAATAGTTTAAAATTGTGTGCATGGAGAAGTGACAATGGAGTACAACCAAACACATGTTCTGCCTTGTGCAGGCATTTTCAAGTTAGAACAGTTTTAAAGGACTCGTTTTGAGGTAAAAAGACTCCATATAGATCACTTCATCCTTTCCAAACCAAAAGGGGAGGGGGAAAATGAATAGGATAAATGTCACAAGAAGCATCACTAAAGCCATTGACTGCATAAAGCACATACTTATTTGGCCTAAATTGTTTGAACTAGCCCTGGCCAAGAAAAAGGTTTTAAGTACCCTACTGGGACAGATGCGAAGCGGCAACAATAGAAGCCACACTAATGCAATCCAGGTAACACAATCCTGTTTCAAAAACATGGAGAGGGCTAATTACAGTGCTGCTGAGTCAAATTTCTTATACCACTGCAACCCACAGGAACAGGTCAAAATCAAATGTTATTCAAACCACAGTCATATCAACCTTCTGTATCAAAGTCACAATTTAAAACCAAGTGAAGAACTTAAAAGCTTAACCCATTCACAAGCCAAGCATGATTCAGTATGGGTGGTGAGGTGGGGTTTGTATTATCATTGTAAAATTATGTTTAGCTTGAATTTTAAAAAGTATTTTCAGAATTGGTACCTTTTGCTTCAATTTACATGAAGATTGATACATTGATCACTGCTAGGAAGCTGGGTGGTTTTTTTCATGTAAGTGTTTTCCTCACTTGGCAGGAAGCACGTAACAGACAACATCTCTGGCTTTCATTTTTTTAAATGATTTGCAAGTAGCAGTTTTGCATACTAGATAGTTAAACAAAATATTTCCGTAAACCTGCCATTAGCATCTTAAGATCTCACTTTCCAGTACAATGAAAAATTCATGTGAATTTTGTAGCTTTCATGTTGCTCAAAATGCCACTCTAACACCATGTTTATGGTGTTCAGCTCTGCAGCATGCTTATAAAACACAGCTCTACACAGATTTCACTGTGGGTTGGTTTCCCCCCGACTTTCCCTGGTGCTACCTAACGCTCACAGAAGATGAAAACACACCAAGTTAAAATAGATAGAGGTATCTTCTGAGATTTAAACATTCTCAGGATTACTTTTTATAGCTAATCAAAGCATCTTCTATAAGCTTCCAATAGATGCACTTTCTTACCAAATACAAACAAGAACTGTAAACCTGAGTGCCTGGGTAAGGACGATGCTACATCCCTGGACCGCTCTGCACGTGGCACCCAACACATCAAACTCTCAGCACCTTCTGTCATAAGAATGGACACACTGGCACAGAAGGTACTTTAAACTTCGTATACTAATTAACTCAGACAATAAGGCAAGAAGCAGCATGCTACTCTTTACTCTCACCCCTACAGGTGTAGGCAGTTTCCCTTCAGGGTCCCTCTGCTCGCAGATTAGTGGCTGGGTATTGCTTTCCCCAGCTGAAGACACTTTCAGTACTTCACAGCCATTTAACTCTCCTAGAGTAATGCTGGTTATCACACATGGCTTTGTACAACGAGTCTGGACAATTAACATGTAAAAATGACTATTTGGCTACCATTTTGCATAATTTGCAAGCACAGAAACTACACGTGGCTCAGGAAAGCTCAAATAGATGCATTGTACTACAGTGATTTACTCATTGATGTCAGATTAGCAATATTGATCTGTTTAAAAACACAATCATTAAGACAGGCAAAAATGAATTAATCAGCTGACAATACAGTCAAAATAGTATTCCAACCAAAAAAATAACAGGAGGAAAAAAGCCTTACTTTGCAGATCTATTTTTTTAACTGTTTTTATGCATAAATAAAAACCTTAAAATGTAGATGGATTGCATCCAACAGAACTACTGTAGCTAAAAGTGATAATGATTCAAACATTTTTCAAATAAAAGTTAAATATTTATAAGCACCCAACCACATTTCATAAATCACAAACTATTATTATTTTATTCCTGAAGCTTCCCTGGCACGGCATGTGAATTGAGCCACAGAAAGTCAGAAAGAAAAATCTCCTCTTTATGCACATGAATCAGTTACAAGAAGCAGAGCCCTCCAAAGAGCAAGTCGTTCCCTTATCCTCCATATGGCCCTTCCATGGCAATCACAATTGCAAAGCACAACTAATTCAGTATCAAAAACAAAATTTCACCCATATATACTCCTAATTCTTCCCCATTAGTAGCACAGGGCAGGTGTTTCATTCTAATGAGGAAAGGGGGGGTGGAAAAATGGAAGGAAACAATAGCAGTCCTTACCTGTCAATTATCACTGGATCTGATGGAGTCTCATTTCTGTTGCCACAGCTTTTCTTGTCACAACAGCGGCTACAGAGCAAAAGTGAAAGGATTTAGTGCAACCATTACACTGTAAAATCATCATTACGAACGTGGTCGGCTCAAATTGCTGGCTAGAGTTACCTCCTGCTCCCTGCCTGGAAATCAGTCAAATGTAGTGGGTCACATATGGGTTAATTACTAGGTTTAACTTCTTGCACAGCTGGTTAGCAACGGAAAATATAAAAAGAGAGGGGGTTTGCCCCTTTCACAAATAATCATTTGAGGATCACCCGAAACAGGGAGAGCTGCCTCTTGGTAGCCTCTTTTCCATAGGGTTTAACAGTTGTCCTGCATCTGCTCACACACAAAATAAGGCAGCTTTTTCCCTGCTGAGCCTGGTTTTTACATTTGCTTCAAGTTTACGTTACACATCCACAAGCTATTGCTGCTTCTACACAGATCCAAATTCCCAGCTACTGGGAAACCTCCCTCCAAAATCCAAAAGCACAATTTTTCTCCCTCTGAGAAACACTGTTGTCAACTGGGAAGCCAAAACGCAAGCACCATTGGCAGCAGCTTTTTATGCTGGACCATGCCTCTTTCTCCAAGTTTTCTGAGCATGTTAATGATTGCTAATGCCGTGGAGAGCCCAGCTCTGGCAGCAGGTGCCCCGTGTCAGGTCAGGTACAAAACAGGCATGTGAAACACAAGCTCCTTCTCCCAGTGCCCTGCTCCATCACTGACCTCGAGGCTGGGTTCTTTTGAACTAGGGTGGCTCATTGTTTCCTAAGTGAAGTTAAATTGTTGTTTGTGATGATTTCTTGCCAGGGGTTACTGTCCATTAGGAGCCATAAATACATTGCAGAGAAGCTCACAGGCAATGTGCATGTTCCTACTCAGGATGATAATCCATCCTTGTGCATCTAGAAGTGCAGCTGAGCAATGGGGAGGCTGCCTGCAGGAGCCCTGCTCCTCCTGCATCTAAACCTATCTGAACCCACACCCAGCCCATCTGAACCCACAAGAACAAGTCACAGCTACACAAGTGAGCAAAGCCTCAGGCTTTCACCCACCCACTCCAGGAAGGAAACACCCATCTAGTAAGAAAAGCTCCTGTTTGGTGACATCCCTTAACAGAAAATCCCCCGAGTCATGGCTTCAAGGAATAAAATAAAAATAAGAAGCTCCTGGTCTTCCCAAGCCCTCTTTGTCCCCAGGGACCTGCTGGATGAATCCTGGGCAGCTCCTGTGAGGTGAGGGTCGCAGGGACCCCATCTCATGGTGGCACCAGGGAGGACCACCCTGTTTGCTCTCCCTGACCACAGCTGAGCTCATCTCTCCGTTCAATAAACTTTCTGGTAAACCTCAGCCCCACACAACCAAGTATTTGGAAATCACCAAGCTTGTTCCAAATGGCATCCCAGGGACCTGCACATCACCCTTGTTTTAGCAGCTGGCTTTAGGTACTGGCAGAAGTGACCACTGCTCACACTCCCAGCTCAGATGAACTATTTTCTTTCCCCCTAGAAGGTGGAAGAACATCAGGACAGGAAGAAGCCCTCAGAAGTGCCATGCTATATAAATAGCCCTGTTGGGAGTATGACAAAGGTTCTCTTGTGTTGCTGAACAATAGAGTGAATAATATACAGTTACCCACCAAGATTAGCAATAAAGCAATGAACCACACTAAAGATAACAAAAAAAAGGGGGGCCTTTTACAAAAACAGCCTGTTTAAACACGGTTTTAAAAAAATAATTTTGTTTTCAAAGAGAGGAAAATACATAATTCTTTTCACCGCAAAAAGCTTCAAGGCAACTATTCAGGGCTGAAACTTTTCACAGTTAACACATGTGCGGTATCTTCATTTCAGTGGAAGTTACATTGTTTGGGATTGCCAAAAAAAACTGCTTAATTTTACAGCACAATACCACAATTGATCCACCAGAAAATGCAAGAGCCTTGGCACCCAGAAAGTATTAAAATTTAGGGAGGAATAAAATATGCTGTAGGTAAACAGTCATGTGGACGTTCGGGGGGCTTTTTTGCCTATAAAAGGACTTGTCATTGGAGTGCAGCTAGAATGTGTGGGGTGAGAAAATTTACCCACAAACAAGGCAATAAAACCTGCTAATCATTTTTAAATGATTAAAATGTAATTAGAAACAGAGTTGGCACAAGTTAAGACAATACAGTTCTTGTGACTGAAGCAAATCAGGGCTAGTCCTGACATTCTCACAGCAGACTGGAGGGACAGAAATTGCCACACTTACTCAGGCAAGCAAAGGTTCCCAGGCTCCCAGCCCAAGATGGGCAGATAGCACCATCTGAGCACCACCAGGCTCGGGGGCCAGCACCTTCCCGGGGCACTAACCCAGCAGGAGAGGCCTCTGTGGGGATATGGAGACGCCTTGGTCTCACCTCCTGCTGCCAGCGGGATGGAGTCAGGCACTGGCCAACTGGGACGATATGGCTTCAAGAGCAGAGGAAATGCTCCGTCACTCATCGGGTGGCCCCTCGTTGAGACAGGGCTTCCCAAGAGCTCATTCCAGCAATCCCAATAGTAGGAGACCTCACTCCTTGCACCACAGTTTGAGGGTGATGTGGCAGAGGTGCATGGTTGGCACATCCCGCTGTCCGTGCCTCTGGCATGAAAGGAGGCCCCAAATATTCTTTCATGTTCTAGATAATTAATTCTGAAACCTTAGCTTGCCTTTCGCATTTTTCCCCCAACAGCAGAATCTGAAGTCTCGTCTACCCTAGATTTCTATGCAGAGAATTAAGATATCACAAAAACCCAGAGTTTGAAACCCAGTGGCATGGCACAAGAAGTGCTTTCAATTCAACTTGCCTCAAAAGTTTTGGCTTTTGCAGCCTACTTAACACTTAGAAAATTGTTCCTAAATATTCAGCACCTTTTCTCCTTTCTCTGACAGAACTTCAAAATTCCCAGGAGTTTCTCCGAGTCACCCAGAAGCCCTGCAGCTCCCTGCAAAGCTCTGTGAAAGTGCAGGGAGAGATGCCGAGCACCACTTCTTGCAGGCAGGAGGGCAAGGACTTGTCCTTGCTGTCCCTCCATGACACCTATTCCCAAGTGGGGCAAGAAGCCATGGCTTGGGCACAATGTCATGCTTTGTTTTTAAAACAAGTAGTCCTTGGTAGTAATGAAGCCTCTTGACATTACAAACCCCTCCAACCTGCCTACCCCAGGTTCCCCCACTCCTATTGCCATCCTTGTCATCCCCAGGGCTCATGGCCAGGCCTTACGCTATCCCCACTGCACCCCTTCACAGACCTTCCTGTCCCCTGACCACCACCAGTCCCAGCTTTTCTGGCTATCTTTGTCCCAACCCTCCGGGGACACCTTGCCCATACCCTCCTGCCACCTTGCTCCATACCCTCCTCCTCCCCTTCTCTACCACAGACCATCTCAACCCCGCGCTGCCTGGCCTCGCCACAGGCACACAGGAGGTGACCTCCTCACCCCAATGTCCAGCACCCCTAAAATCCCCTCGTCCCCACCCCAGCGTGGCAGCCAGGAGCATCGTTGGTGAGAGGAGCCCTGCTTTGTGTATCTGTGCACTCAGGCTTTCTGTGGGGACAATGAACAATGAGGAATGACATGACGGGGGTGGCACCCGGCCAGCGCCAGCGCGACTTTCCGATCATTTTGCTGCCAGGCTCTAACAAGTCGTTAGCGAGTCCGTGCGGGAGATTTTGCAGAAGCTCCCAAAGAGGTGGGTTTCATCCCACAGCTGATGCAGCTGGGACAGTCCCTGACCCAAACAGGCTCCTCCACAAGCGTGGAGGTACGAGAGCTTCTGGCCTAAACAGCTGTAAGATTTTATTTTACACAGGAAAAAAAAAAAATAAAAAAAATCCATATTTTACTCCAACCTCATTCTCAGAAATCACTGAACCATTTTAGCTGAAACTTTCCAAAGAAAGTCAGCCTGAGGCTGACACCCTGCAAAGGACATTTCAGCCAGAACAGTTTAAGTTTGGCAAAGCTGTAAGCCACTGAAGGTTTCATAATGGAAATTGTTGAGGCAATATTAACTATAGATGTCCCTCCCCATGCTGCCTACAATACTAATAAATTCCACTGAGGCTATGAATTCTCCCCAGCTATTAACATTTTCGCCAACAGTGTAGATTTTTAAATGAAAAAACACAATGAAATCCTTTGAAATAAACAGCCACCTGAAGCAAACCTCAGCCCCACTTTCCTACCACAACCAGGACTCTCCTATACATTTGAATTCTTTGTCTTATCCGTGCCATAGTTGCAGTATACTATAAATACCCAGCTTTGTCACATAAATGCAAAGTTTTATTGTGCAGTTAGCCTTGATAGAAAGCACTGCTGAAAGTTGTTTAGAAATTAAATATCTAAAACAAGCTATTTTAAAATACAGAGCCCTCACTATTTCATGTCTGAAATGAAGAAATTTCATCTTAGGGAGAGCAAGCTGTCTTTCACACCATATGGCTAATGGTAGTGCATAGCAATTAGCTGGGCTGATTAATGGGGAACAGACTCTAATTTTATGCTTATAATTGAGGCTGCATTTGCACCCCTGGTGCAAATTCAGCACATCCCAACTTCCACTTACAACAGGCAAGAAATCAAGAGAAACAGAATAGTGTGGAGAGAGGTTTTTTTTTTCCCCTTCTAGACCCCTAAAGAGCATCAGATTTGCAATTTAAAAGAGTTTTAGCAGCACAATAGATGACAGATTTGTGTAATAGGGTCAAGCGGCCTGGTAAACAAACAGCAGCCTCTTACACATGTATAGGCAGAAAGGGAAATGGGTAATATCTAATATGAGCTGTAAGAAATTTGAATATGTCTCCCCCACCCCATCAAGAACACAGCATTTGCCTACTATGGTCAGATACAGTTTTTTGCTACCCCGTCACCTTGCAGTTATGAAACATAAAACAAGAACTAGCAATAAACAAACAAAGGGAGAAGAATCAAGTGCCTGATCCAGTACATTTTAAGAACAAAGAAAGTATAAAGTGATTTAATAAAGGCAAAGACTGGACATCTTTCCACATTCCCAGAATGGAGATGATTTTGTTTCAGTCAAAGTATATTGAACGACCTTAAATCTTTGTTGCAGGTATTTGTTTTTTTGGTGAAAACTCAGACCACGGTTTAAAGTTTCAGTTTATTTCTTACTCTTTATGTTTCTAAAGCATTTGTAAGAAAATTAATTAATTAGAGTAGGTGATTCTTACTCTTGCACGGATTGCTCAGTGAGTGGCAGGCAGATGTAATTCTTACCCCAAAACCTTGCCATTCAGGAACCAGGAGGGCACATCACCCAGGACTAACAGCAGATTCAGACCCTGATGCTGCAGGCACTTGAGCATGTGCTTAAGTTTACTCACATGAACAGTCCCACTGTTTTACTGGTCTATTACAGGAGAAAAGCAACACACGCTCTTCAGCCTTATCAGGTCAGGGGCCTCCTTCAATATTTCCATGAATTGTTCCTAGCTAGGTATCTAGTGTGAAAGTGGTGCTAATTGGGCCAATGAATTTTAGGGCAATTATGGGTTGTCAGCACGACTGGTTTTCCATTTGGAAAGGCCAAGTGGCCAGGAGTCCCCAGCACAGCAATGCTGCAGCTCCAAACAGCCAGGGAAGCTCAGGTACCTCTTGTAGAAAACCTGTCTACTCTGATCATTCTCGGGCTGTGCTGGGTTATCTTTGGTTACCTGGAAGAAGCCAAACCTACTGAATGAAGCAGCCTAGAAAGATATGACATATAAACTAAAATGCCTCAAGTCCTACAAGGAAGAATTTGGTGGGGGAAAGAGAAGGGGAGGCTGTGTGGGGTTTTGTTCAGGCTGGCAAAGCAAGGAGAGCAGCTTCTTCTCTGCCTGCATTGTAGGGCACTGCCCTGGAGCAGGGTTTTATCAGGGAGGAGCTGCTGTGGAGGCCAAGACATGCAGCTCCCTAGGAATGAAAAAAAAAACCAACCCTAAAACCAAAACCTAAAAAAAACCCCCAAAAAACACAAACCCAAAACTTTAAAAAATCAACCAACAGAGAAGTTTTCATCTCAATATTTTGTCTGAGACTCTCCCCCACCAGGAAACCCTCATCCAAGTTTTTTCTCTTAGAAGTGGGCACTAGATTTTACCCTCAAGTTACTCCTTTTTAGTAAATGTGTTTTGTAAAAGTTACAACACATGCAATGGCATTTTTACAGTCTTAAAACAACTGATTGTAACAATGAGCTTATGCAAGAATGCTTCATCTTCCACCAGGGAATTAATTTCTGCCATCGAATAACATGTAACAAATGATTTTTTCAGACATGCAAAAAAACCCCACTAACTTTAATGAGACTGCAAGGTCAAGCTCCCCTAGGTGTTGGATGGGTCTGAGAGAAGATGCTTTCCTCTGTGCAGTAAAAAGGAAGTAGAAGAGGCTTCACATCTTTCAATAAGCCAGAAAAGAGAAGGAAGCAGCTGCAGAAAAAACATGATCAGGAGAGAAGATATTTGACTGTTCTGAATTTAAGTAACCAACCCCAAGCAGGCATGTTCAGGGGAAGAGAGCACAAGGCAGAGCCAAATCTGCATGGAGAGGTCTAAAGAAAATCAAAGAAGACATATTCTGTGTAGAAGGACATCACCTGCTCCTCTCCAGCCAAGCAGGGCTCTTGCATGAGCAGCAACTGGGAAAAAAACAGGCCTCCTGACCTCAAGTCCTCATGAGCATCCAGAAAAAAAAAATAGTTAAAAAAATTACTATTTTGTCATCTTACTGAAGAGGCTTTGTTGGGAACTGGGGACAGAGACGTTTATTGCTACAAGACTATAATAGACTGTTAATTTTGGGGAGGAGGCCTTCTGTGGGCTACCATGTCCAAATGCAAACCAGTAGCACTCTGTTGAGAACAACTCCTTATAAATAATTGAAAACTAATGTTACGACTGAGACCTTGTTGCTAATTACGTACACTGACCTGTGTTATTTTGGGATTGTTTAATGCAAGAAAGATAAATTTAAGCCCAAAAATAGCTGCAGGTTCAACCTAGATCTGGAGAGATAGATTCATCTTCTCATCACTAATTAACTGGAAGCAGGGTATTTCTTACCTGCACATTATTTCATGCGTGAGCAGAACTCGGCACATTTCTGGGTTCTTGTCTTGGCCTTCGTACACTATTGCCTAGAAATAAAGCACATTTTTAGGTTTGCATCGAGCTGAGTTTGGAGTAAATAAAACAAAACGCGTCGTGGTAACCGAGAGTTGCAAGCCGAGTCGCGGGCTAAAGAGACCAGGTCTCCACAGAATCTGCTGCAAGATAAGCAGCTGGAAAACAACACCAGCTGAGAACAGCTCAATTCCCTCCTCTCTGTTGCACATCTCTCAAGCAGTGTGTAGGATGGGCTTTTTTTAGCAGTCAAGACAACCACAATTTTCTTTTCAATTCAGAATAGAACATAAACCTCATGGCATTAAAAGAAAAAATAATAATAAAAAGGAATTAAAAAAAAAAAAATCGCCACCAGCAAGGCTTGGCACAATTTGGGTCCTATTCATTTAAAAAAAAAAAAAAAAAAAAAAAAAAAAAAAAAAAAAGACAGAAAAGAGAGATCTCATGTATATTTAATTTCAAAGCTGCACAACCCAGGCATTTTCCTGGTAGCTCCGGAGAAAGCACCTGGAGCTGATTCTCGCCTTGAACCTCGTGATCCACCACTTTCCAGAGAGCAACTCTGGAGTTACAGGGATATAAATAAGTGACAAGCAGGTCCTACCAGAGCAGAGGATACCAAAAGAAAAAGAAGATCAACCAGCTTGAGGCATTTAAGTCTGAGATAGCACAGGGAGAATCCCTTAGGTTAAAACTATGGAAAGATGGTGTATTGGCATTTCCAGGAGAGTTTGCATTTTGCAGTGCTCCCACCATCAGAACAGGCAGTGAGGGCTCAGCACTACACGCTATCTGGGTTAGGGGTTATAACCCATCCAGCACAGGGTTTCCATCCCATCAGGACAGAGTTATGTTTTCTAACCCCTCCCCAGTCCCAGGCACCAGCCCCCCAGCAGCAAAACAAGATTGAAAAGACGTTGCCTTTGCAACAGCAAATTTTGATAGCACTGAGGTTCCTAAATCTTTCAGGGTGTCACTCCAGTGCTGGGATCAATGGTTGGAGCCCCAGCCTTGGAGGGATGACTACCCCTGCGTCTGAGCATCAGCTCTGTCCTTGACCTTAGTGTGATCTATTCAGCCTCTAAAATACAGGCTTAAAAAGAAGAAATTGGGGAACAAACTCTGCAGATAAAATAATACCTGATATGAGGATCCCTAAAGCTAATGATAAAATAGGTATTGGCAGTAAAAACCAAAAGTATGCTACATGGATGAAATACATTTTATGGAATGAGACCACTTTGAAATGGAAGTGTGCAAAATACTGAGACAAAATAAGTTATCTTAATATATGATGAAGTAAGATCATATGAACTGCTTTCCCAATCAGTCCTTACAAATATATTAACCCACCACAGGTAAGAGGTGTTGTACTTGCAAAGGGACACAGATCTCAGGACGCACAAATCTGAAGAAGCACGAGCTGATTTTAAACACAATTTTAATACTGATGTGCAATATTAATATCGTGCATTATAGAATTATTCAATAAATAGTATCAGGGATGTGGCTGTATTATCTTTGATAGTTTTGATTTTTTTAATTTTGTTTTTTTTCTGTGCACATTCCCCTAAAACCTGAAGGTCTGTGGGTTTTTTCTTGCTGATAAAAGAGGCCACTGGTGTCATTGCAGCTAAAGGGTACAGAGTTTCACCTGACTTCCGCCCCCTCACTCCCACTAGTGAGGCACAAAACCTGTGAACCCAGCACTCCTAGAAAGGGGACACAAAAGGACATTTGGCAAGTCCCCACAGCACAGACACCAGCAAATCCCCCAGGCCTCAGCTGGGGCCCCATGTCCTTGATTGGTTGCTGGCCCACACCTTGAGGTGCTTCCACATCAGTGCTCAAGAGAGCTACAGATGGTTTGCAAGAAGCCTCAAAAAATGGCACTACAGTCATCCATGTGTTGCAGCAGGAGGTGGGACAAATTCAGAAGATCCTCGTTTCCATGCATTAAAGGAGAGGATAGGGAGAAGCTTCTTCCAGCCAAAACCAGTGAATCAAAGTTACCAGCTAACACCCAATGGGGTAGGTCAGTGGGGACACCACAGAGACTCCAGAAAACCCCAAATTGGGTTCCACCTGGCAGTGGAACAGAGCAGGCGAGGGTGAAGCTCATGGCACTTTTTGAACTTAATCAATAATTAAAGAATAATCTGTCCCTAAGAGTGCAGAGTATGGGAGCAAAGAGCAGATCTACCCCTGAGACCTTTAGTGGAGACAAACACCTCCAGTCTCCATTCAACTCTAGATGATCACAGCATGACACGGGGAGAGTAGTGCTTGAGAGAGGACTGCTGGTCTTGGTTCATCCTTCTTAGACTTCCAAATCTTAAAATAAAATTACCCAACCTATGGGATACCTTGCTGCCAGTGAAGTCAAGGCAGCACTAGAAATGACAAAACAAACCACCAAATTTCTTTCTCTTTTCCCTGCTCCCCTCTCTCTTCCTTTTCCCCTCCTGCTGCTATGCTTACTTAACCTCCAGGTACCCGCTTAAATAACTCAACTAAATAGCAATAATGAACGGGCAGAGTCAACACTGTGGTACATAATCACCTTGTCTGTTGTGTTTAGCATCACTGATCCCTTCTTTGCGTGCATGACACCCTTCTGCCTTCCTCTACATTAAGGATTTGCTTTGTACTTTATTTGCCTTTAATTACCACTGCTGGACCCATGCACATTTTGTTTTCTCTGCACTAAGTGCAGGTGCTCCTGAGTTCCCTCTTCCTGCAGGAATTTCTAGGAAATTCTCGCAAGCAGGAGAAATTGCTGAGTTCATTTCTGAGCAGCTCATCCCCAACTCCCATTCCTACGTCCCAATTTCCTTGGGTGAATGGGTGTGCAAAGCACCAACTGTTTACTTCCATGAGCAGCCACCCAAGAGCATTACAGATACTCTTACCCTCTTGCAGACTGGGCTGTTCTAAAGCATTAATTCTACAATTAGTTTCTAAAAGGAAACAGGAACTGCTAAAGTTTCAGATCATTATAGCTGCCAGAAGTATTTTTACAGGAAGGCTTTACAATGTTACTGTTGTGAAAATTGTTAACTGCAAGATTTGAAAAGCTCTTCTTTCTTTTAATAAAAATATCTTTTTTTTTTTCTTACTATTATTATTTTAAAGGCTTTAAAACAGAGTGATTGCAGCAGGATTCCTAGTTGTAGTAACATCGCTGTGATTTTGTCAAATAGGGATCACATTAATGAGAGATAAAGTGAAAGTTAGTGTATAAACTTAGACCACAGCAGAGCTAAAAATAAGCCTGCAAATACACATCTGGGTTGCACAACAAAACACCAGCAAAGGAAATGCAAAATTATAGACTTTGTTTTTCTTTTTCTTTTTGTTTACTTCGTGTCGTTTTAGTTTGGTGTTACTTCATAAGCGTTTCAAAATAGCTTTCCTTCTCCTGAACGACTTAAATATTTCCCCACAAAATGCATCTTCCATTTTGTCTGCCATTAATTGCCTAAGTAACTTCTCTACAAGGAGTCCGAGTAACAATCACTCGTGCACAAATGGATCTCAAAATCAGGCCCCCCAAAATTAGTGTCATAATATAAGGCTTCTCACTTCTTTTTACAGAAAAAGCTGCACAAAAAGTTAAACTAAGTGCAATTCACTGCTTGCCAGCAAATAAAAATCACTAAATTGAACACTATGCAGTCATTTTTAGATGACAAGTGCCTCCAACAATTTGCCTGAACTTTTCAGTGACAGAGTTCATTTAAAAAAAAATATATTCAAATAAAATCAAAGGGAGGGTGGGTAATATAAAAATCAAGACTACAGTTCTCATTTAATCTGTTTTTTTCCCCCAGGAAAGACCGCAGGATAAAGCGGTAAAAGAGTTGATGAATAAGTTGGAAAAATAGAGAACCAGATTTTGTTCTTAACTATTCCCGAATAAATCCAGATTTATGCTGGTACAAGTGAGGGCAGAATTGTCTCATGGTGTCAGTTTGCCAGTCAGGCAATCCTGCCTTCTAAACTGGACGAGAAACAATCTTGAAGGAATGAGATCACTGTCATTATATTATTCAGTTATGTCATGGCCTTGATTTTTAAAAAGTAAGAGAAGGAGAGAAATAACCCACATGGATCTAAATCCACTCGCTTTCAAATTCCTCATCTGTTTCACAAAACAAACTAACTATCTCCTCAGTGGAAATAAAGGAGAAAGAAAAACTCATTAAAATGAGGGTCTTTTCAGAAACAGAACTGAAATTATTTGGAATGACGTGTACAGCCATAGACACAGAGAGAAAATAAAATCCTGGCCCCACTGAATTCAATAGGAGCTTTGCAATTGACTTCAGATGGGCCAGAATTTCACCCAGAGAGGATTAGGCTTGTATCCGCTATATATCTACACAGAAAATACTGTGAATTACATTTATTTGGCTTTGGATATTTAACCCTTAATTACCCAAGTTTTAAGCCTTTTCCCAGGCAAAATTTTGTCTCATCCCAGTGAGGTTTATCCCGGACAAGCAGCACAGCTCTGGGTCCCAGGGCGAGGACGTTTAGTTCTTGTCGTGTCTTTCAACGCACAATTCGGAAGCATCTGATTATTTTATCCAGCCTCCCTCTGCCTTTGATACACAGCCTGCTTATTGACGTATTCACACAAATTATATAAATTTATCTCTCCTAATATGTTCATTTTTAATGGTTTTCAAACATTCGCATGGAAACAGCTCTAGCGTAAATATCCCAGAACAAATGGCTGTATATTATACAGGAGGGAGCAGTTGGGCTGCCAGACTGGGAATGCACCAGGCCATCTGGCTCAGGCAGTCTCTCCAAAATCCTCAGCTTTGTTTTCACCCTCAGACTCCAAACAACACATTTTCCACTGTGATGAGTTTACATTTTCCCAAACACAGGTCCTGATCATGCATGCAAATTCCAAACTTCTCCATCCCTCTCTGTACAAGAAAATTAAAATCACCTGCGCTCCTGACATCTCACCAAAGGCACAAGAAAGCTGCTAAAATCTGGCGCAATGTAAACTTTCCCCGTCACAGGGGTTAGGTTTTGTTTTATGTTTGTGTGAAATTTCTCAGAGTCTGCTGAGGCTCCTCTGAACTTATTGATAACATTTTTTTTCCCATGCACGTAGCTGCCAGAGAAGGGCCCTGCTATGCACAGAATAGAGAGCGGATCAAATATCTGCAGACATCAGAGAATGATAGAGAAGGCAACAGAAAAATCATTTGCATCCAGAGTTAAAGTACTGAACTAAAAATAAAAAAAAATATATAATATATAAACAGAGTCTAAGTCTGAAGGAAGGGTTTTTGACTCATGAGGACTCTCAGCAATAGACAATAGCTATCGTGCAAAACTTATGATTTTTAAGATGCCTGAGCCATATTAGCATCCGTTATATCTTATGGATGAGAACAGCTGAAGGAAAAATGGGTGGGGAACAAGTATTTCAGATTTATTTCCTCCATCTTTCCTAATAGTGAAATATCTCAACTTTATGAAAATACAGCTGAAGAAATAGAAGGCATCTCTTCTCTGTAAATGTATTAAAATCCT